CTTGCTAGCCGAGACACAATCATAGTGCATGAGGAGTATCCGAACCCATACGATAGCACCAACAGTGAAAATGTGACACCTATGTTGCTATTTATTGTTCACGACTTTAAAAAGCATACAAAATGACCTGCACTCTAACAAATAATATATGTTACAAAAAAAATAGAAATTTTGCCGAACACCACCATCAGGCCTTTATTTGATTTCGTACCGAAACCGAAAAGATTCCCTAGCAAGAGTACAAAACCCTTTGAAAGACAGATAGATCAAACTAAGCTTTGTGCTTTGTGTGGGAAACCCTTTTACCTCCGGTACAAAACTAACAAACCGCGTGCAGTTTGTGTCAGCGCGAAGAAACTTCCTAGGGTCCATAACAAATTTTTATCCCACTCTACTCCAATTCACTCCAACACAAACATCCGAACTACCATAGTACTGTCAACGTACTAGTTCTGATTATCAATGCATTCGCACAAACTCCTCAATTTGGATATAATTTCATCAAATGTGTAAGTAAACGAACAACTAGACTTTCCATACAACATCATGAACTCTGAAAAAGTCTTACAAGCGTTGCGTTCACTACTCGTCTTTACTCGAGGGTGAACCTTGACAACGTTTCCGCTCATCGCATATCATATCAATAATGAAGATTTCTCACCATATTACTCTTCATTTCTTTTTCTACCTCAGAAGCACATCTTGCTGATTGGTCAGCTTATCAAACATCACAGGAAAAATGAAGATTCTTCATAAATATTTTCTTCAACTCTTTTGCTAACTTGTAAGGAAACCTTGTCAGTTTGTCAGCTCACTGAACATCATATGGAAAACGAAGATTTCTCATGAATGCCTTTTACCTCTCTTTTACTAACTTGAAAGCAAACCTTGCCAGTTGCTTAGCTTATCGAAAACTACATGAAAAATGAAGATTTCTCACGAATATCTTTTCACCTCTATTCCAAGCTTGAAAGATAATCTTGCTACTTGCTCAACTCGTCAAATATCACATGAAAAATGAAGATTTTTCATGAATACCTTGTTCACCTCTATCCCAAACTTGGAAGAAAACCTTGTCAATGGCTCCGGTCATCGAACATCACATGGAAAACGAAGATTTCTCATAAATATCTTCTTCTCCTCTTTTGCTAACTTAGAAGCAAATCTCTTCAATTGATGAGGTTATCGAGGATCACATGAAAAATGATCATTTCTCATAAATACATTTTTCACATCTCCTACTAACTTGGAAGCAATCCCTGCCACTCGCTCAGCGCACCAAACTTCACATGGCAAATGATGATTTCTTATAAAAATCCTTTTCATTTATGTTTCTTACTTCGAAGCAAATCTTGCCAGTTGTCCAGTTGATCGAACACTACATGGCAAAAGAAGATTTCTCAACAATATCTTCTTCACCTCTTTTGTTAACTTCGAGAGAGACTTTGCCAGGTAGTCAACGGATCGAATATTACATGGAAAATGAGCATTTCTCACTATGTTGCTCTTCATCTCTTTTGTTAACTCGAAAGTAAATCTTTCCAATTGATTAGCTGATCGAAGATCACATGAAAAATCAAGATTTCTCATGAATATCTTCTTTACTTCTATTCCAAACTTGGAAGAAAACCTTATCAATTGCTCAGCTCATCAAACACCACATGGTAAAAGAAGACTTCTCACCATGTTATTCTTCACCTCTTTTGCTAACTTGAAAGCAAACATTGCCCAGTGCTCAGCTTATCGAAAATCACATAGAAAATGAAGATTACTCAATAATGTCTTCTCTACTTCTTTTACTAACTTGTAAGCAAACCTTGTCGATTGGTCAACTCATTGCAGATCACATGGAAAATGAAAATTTCTCAACAATATATTTTTCACTTCTTTTGCTAACTTGGAAGCAAACCTTGCCAATTGAACAGATCATCGAACATCATATGAAAAATGAAAATTTCTCACGATGTTGTTCTTCATCAATTTTGCTAACTTGGAAGAAAACCTTGTCAGTTGCTCAGCTTATCGAACATTACATGGAAAATGAAGATTTCTTACTATGTTGTTCTTCACCTCTTTGGCTAACCTAGAAGCAAACCTCTTCAGTTTGTAAGCTCATAGAACATCAAATGTAAAATGAATTTTGCTCACTATGCTGTTCCTCACGTCTTTTGCTAAGCTGAAAGCAAATCTTTCTAGTTGGCCAGCTCATCGAATATCACATGGAAAATGACGATTTTACAAAAATATCGTCTTCACCAATTTTACTAATTCGAATGCAAACCTTGCCATGTGCCCAGCTCATCGAACATTACATGGAAAATGAACATTTCTCATGAATATCTTCTTCACCTTATTTGCTAACTTCGAAGCAATCGTTACCTATTGTTTAGCTTATCAAACATTACATGGTAAAAGAAGATTTCTCAACAATATCTTCTTCATTTCTTTTGATAACTTGAGAACAATCCTTGTCAGATGGTCAGTTCACCGAACATCACATAGAAAATGAACATTTCGTACCATCGTGTTGTTCACTTATTGAGCTTGTTTCAGGGAAATATCGGCTGTTGATTCAATGATTGAAGATTAGACGATATCTGAGCGCGAGAAAAGGCAAGTTGCATGTTTAGAATCATAATTTATGTGGTATGAAATGGAAAATAGGGTATTCTTAGGAGAATTGTGTATTATACTTCCGATGAAAGTTTGTTATCAATACTGCGCTCAATTATTTTGCGTTCACAAGTGCCAAGATTGTTGTGATTGAGTGGTATGAAAAATCTCACGATATTTGTATCGCTCATATTATTATTTTATGCACTGATTATAGCATCTGATGCACAGATTTGCAGTATACCAACTGTTGTACGACGGTATGAAAAGTGAACTATCAAAACGCTTCGTTTGTTCGATTTTTTTTCTTCGCTATGGAAAAGATTCCATGTAGTAAATCCAGCTGAAATAACATGGGTCATGACTTGTACGGTTGGTATGGCCCTATCCAAGTTTTTTTTTGAGTTTAAGTAATCATTATAGACTCCAGTTTTTTATCAATCATCACATGATAGGTGAAGCACTCTCATAAAATTTATGTTCATGTATGTTTCTAAAATGTAACCAGTTGTCGAGGCTCGATTGCTTGATTTCAAGGAATCACGAAAGTGACTAGCTTCAAGTCAAATCATATTTAGTTTCGTGATCCAGTCAACAGCGAAAACATTGACTTCGTATTGTAGTAAAAGATGTTAGTGAAAGCGAATAATATCTTTCAAATTGTTCTGTTCGCTCTTTGTTTTGGATGGAATGAAATGTTCTAAAATAATGAGCTACTGAAAGATAACATGACGTATGAATAGTTGTAATCACCATCAGAGTTATATTTATGTGTTACGCTCATTTCAAACCGAAACTTATCGATTGATTGAATGACTGTTGACTACTTATGCGATGAATGATGATGAAGAAGGTGGTTTTCATTAACCTACATTGCTCTCAAGGAAAACACGAGTATCACTTAGCTAGATCAAATCATACGGTGCTCGAATAATGGTTCACCAGATATTTTATTTATTATTTTTATTCACATCGAAATAAACATTTTTGATTGTGCTCTGGATCGAGATTACACCAATAATGAATACTTTATTACCAATCGAGCTATTCAGATAGTTTGCTAATTTGAAATCAAAATGTGTGCGTTATTAAGTTAATGGGTATCATATGAAGATTGAAAAGTGATAATCAGGGTCTTATTCATTGAAAGACTATTGTTTACAGAAAACTTTGGAATTAATCGCTCAATCGAAGATCACACATTATATGAATGATAATGACGACAATTACCAGAATTCCAATCAGCTACTTGTTTAAGCTCATTTAATTGATCTAAAACGACTCATTGATAGCCAATGACGCGACAAATAAATGATTATGACATTTGGCGCAAGACTGCTGTGCAAATACTGTGCAAATTTTGAACAGAAAAATTGAGATTGATCGGTTTGTATGAGTTGAAAAAATAGATAAATAATATTTAGCAGGATTTGGTTCATCTATGCTATTTCTATTAAGCCAATAATCATGAACTAACAATTAAAAAAACGATCACGTGGAAACTGATGAATGACAACGACCATCACAACAGTTCTGTGCATGTATTTTATTGACTTTACAGCGAAAGGTTTTAGTTGGAATGCTTCCGACGGATGAGAAAGCAAACAAACAATTCTTATCAAGATCCTTTTGAGAGTATGGTGAGCTTGATACAGTGGATTGTGGTTTTTCTAAATGAATGAATTCAATTGTTGCAGAAATTCGAAAAAAGAAGACTAATTACTGCTATTTTCAGCTATCAAACATACAAACATTTCCGAGTTAATAGATGCATTTGCTAAGAGAAATCAATGGATTAAATATATTTTGATTCTTCAATTTAAAGAAAAATAGTAGGATGAATCATGCAGTTCTGTTGTCGATGCTTCAGAAAACTAAAAGAAGTCTCGATATATCTGTAAGGGAAGAAGTCGAATACAATGTGCTCAACCTCATTGTCGATAAACTATATTGAAGGGCACCGCAATAGTTTTATTTTTTTATACCTTAAGCTATCGAATGTATTAAGGGAAACAAGAAATCAAACGTTAGTTGGGTCTTCGAAGTCGTTGCAAATAGAACATATGGTCATAGACGCGAAAGATACTCATCATGAAACTAAAAAATTGTAACAAGCTGTAGTAGAGATTCTCAAATGCTACTCAATGCAAGCATATTCTTTATTTTTCACAATTATATTATAGACAGAATCAACTTCATGGTAAAACAGATGACAAAGCATCAAACAAGAAGGGAGCTGTATTCAGAGTGACTATAAGTCATGCACTAAAACTGTCGTTGAAAAGATTATTTCGTTATTGTGTGGAATAGAAAGTGATAACCTAAAATTTTTAGTAGGTATTTTTCGTTAAAAACTTTTGATACTAGATAAAGTACAGAAAACTTACTTTTTTCTGAAGCTGCTTTAGCTACAGGTTTTGATATGTCACTTGCTGTTGAAGTGATTTCGTGTTTCTTCGACGAATTTGGTAGTAATTTTCGTGGTGATGGTATGCGCTTCCATTCACTAAGATCAAAAGGTTCGGCAAGCATAGCATGTGGAGGCTGAATTTCTCGGAGATGAATGATATGCAAGTCTTGAGCTGGACTTGATTTATCAATGACTTTGAAGTATCGACCAGGAGGAAGAAGAATTTCATCTTCATGTTGGAAATAGGAATGTTCACGTATTAGCTTGCCACTATTGGTTTCAATTGAGAACATGGTTCTTGGACCTGAAGTTCCCACATATAGTGGAGATTCGAGTACACTAATAGATGAAGTACAAGAACTTAGAGCCCACCAAGTGAATTCTTTTCCTCTTGGATAAAGAGCACTAAGGTTCTCGGGAATACCACGCCATACAGTTTGATATTCAGTTGGTCTACAAGATAAATAATATGCTGACATAAATAGAGCTTTGAGTAACTTACGGTAGCTTATAAAGACCAGTTAAGAACAACTTTAAATATCTAAACCATGGGCGAAGTTGCGTTCGATCGGCCGAACGTAACGTTTGGTTGAGAATCATGTACAAACTATTTTCACGTACATCCCATTCCATCGTATACAGATGAATGGCGGCGGATTCATCTGGTTTAAGTCCATGTTTTGGTTCTTTCGAATTCATTTTAGCAACACTTATATTTTGTTGTAATTCATGATCCAGTATGTTTTTCAATGGTTTGCATGCTTCTTCAAGAGATAGTAAAGGTTCAAGCTCGTAGCCAGCAATTGGCTTGAGCATTTGTTCTGGTTCATCACGAATGTTAGAAACCAGACGACGATTGATTGGTTTCGATGCTGTCATACGTTTATGTGCGTTTCTTATCTGTGAATGTCAATGGCATTTGAATATTTTATTTTGCTGCACGATGATTTTGCTTGAATACGTGACAAACTAAATAAATAAACAGTAAAACATCATTAATGGATAGAATACTTAAGATATATTTTTTTGTTTTTCAATCCTTCATGCACTATCGAAGTAATTACACACACAGCAGATGTAAGGGGATGCCTTGGTTACGTAGTATGTTTGTTTTTCGTTGTGAAGAGTATGTAAAAAGAACAGAAAAATTTGATTCGTCATCGAATGCAGTATGAAGTGAAAGAATTGTGTCTGATTAACAAAAATCATCCATTCTAAATGAAAACTTGCATCATTTAAATGAATCAAAATATGTATCAACACTTGTATCGTATTTTCGAGGATAAAACTACGAGTGCTCCCTATAAATAAAAGCAATGCTTCCAAATCTATGAATTCAACTGATTATTTTGCGTTAAACAGTAATCGTTTTATAAAAACTGTCGAAACAGTATTTTTGAAATTTATTCACATCCTTTCGTGTGCCATCACCATTATTTCAACTACAAATTATAGCATCGTCACTTATTTCAATTTCACTCTACAATAATTGATACATGAAATTAAAATAACAATAACTTGCCAATGACCATATAGACATGTCATGGTTAGAGTTATAACGTAATTGAATTTATGTCCCTATCATATCCTTCTATTCAGATTCATGTTAGAAAACTATTGGGTAGAAATTGCACTGATGCTTAGAATCCTTCTATTTCACTAATGGATTTTTTTACACATCAAAAATATCATCGAAACTTTTCATAGCAACTGAAGACAGCATCAATAACAAGAATTGTATACAAAGAATACAGACAAAATATGAAAAATAATTCATTGTCATATTTCTTTTCTCCTGTAAAAGCTACTGAGCACTTCAAAAGAAATAGAAAGAATAATCCAAAGAGAAGCACTTGAAATAAAGAACAAACACAAGAAATACAATGAATAAAAAAAAATCTTCATTCGTTACAAAGTGTCTGCACTATTATTTCAACTATTAAAAAAAGACAAATATATAAAATCTGCTTGATAAAATGTTTCTTTTTTCTTTTTTTTTTATAAAATCTCATAATAATGATTTTATTGATTAAACTAATGCAAAACATCAGAAGTAAAGATAGTTTTTAATACTTTCGGTATTTGACTTGTTTCTAAACAAACGAAACCTTTTCCCGATGGTAAATTCTGTTGTAAATGTATTGCTTGTTGTCCTAATGATCCAATAAACATAGCGAAACATTGAACATTTTCATTTGATTGTAACATTTTTCCAAAGACTTTTGGTGATAAACCATATCGATCAAAATTAGCATCTGATATAACAATAACAAAACGTTCATCAACTGTATCATCTGGTTCAGCTTGTAATGCATCAATAGCTGTTTTTAAAGCTGGTAATGTATTATCACCAGAACTACAAAACATTGTATGTGTATACATAAGTTTTAATAATTTTAAACGTTCTTTATTATTTTTTGGTGGTTGATTTTTTTTTACAAGTTCAATTGAATGTTCATCACCTGAATGACCAACAATATCATAAACAAATTTATGTTCAAAACCAGACAATGATTCAAGAAACATTAATACACATTCACATTGTCGTTCTAAACGATTATCAACACCATTAAAACGATACATTGATGCAGATAAATCAACAACTAAACGAAGACGTTTAGCTTTCGTTTGAGGACTACCAGGTTCAGGTGGAACATCAGCACGATATTTATATATAGATTTTTCACCAATAATACCTTCAATTAATTTTCTTTCATCCCAATCACCAGTTGTACGATGACGCTAAAAGAAAACTCATTAATCTATTTAAAAAAGAAAACAGTATCTTAAAGAATTTTACCACCCATTGACGATCATGTGATTTTGCTTCTAATGATTCAATAATTGAACGAAGCATTTTAATTTCACTTGAAATTTTATTTAAATATTTTTCATAAACTTCATGTTCATACTCTGACATTTCAATTTCTTTTAAACGTTCTTTAAACACTTTTTGACCTAATTCTTTGGCTGCTTTTCGAATATGTTCAGGTACTGCTGCTTTTACATCATCAGGAACTTGATAAACTTGATGACCACTATCTAAACGATATGGTCCTCCAATACCACCAAGACCTAAACAATAAAAAAAACAACTAAGATAAAAAAAAAACTAAGTCTCATTAAGCAAACCGGCAGTATCTCGACCACTACTTCCACCAGCCCATTGATTTCCACCAACATGTGGATTATTTTCTGGATCAACTTTTCCATGTTTAGGTCCACTTAAATCTGTTTTTCCACCTTTTAAATATTCAATATCAAGACTATGCTCTCCTGACTGATTTGTACTTTTATACCAAGCATCTAATGATATTTGTAAATTGCTTGGTATGATTTCCCAATGATGAATAATAGCATGAGCATCGATTGTTATTAATGAACCATCATTATATTGAGCAGCAATAACACCTGAACCAGATTTAATTAACATATGCCATTCATGCTGAGATGCTGATGAACGAGAATTTTGTTGTTGTGGACGTTGAATTGGAATATAAGTTATTAAATGATTTTTTAAATCGATTAATTCAATATAAGTAAGAATGGATGAATCAGGAATATCATTTTTTATTCTGAAAAAAAAAAGAATGTAATGAACTATTACAAGAAAAATAAACATTCTACATACGTAAATTTTTTATCAATTTCATTTTTTGCATAAAATGAAGCAATCAATGAATGTTGTTTATTAATAAATGTTTGTAATCGTCGTTTTTCATACATTTCTCGTGGTGGTACATCACCAGATGATATTATTTTTATTCTTTTAAATCTTTCAACAATAAGATTATTACTTGTATTTGAAATTATTTTTGCTAAATAATCATTTGAACTTGAAAACCATAATGAATTATCATTAAAATATCCACCACTACTAGCTAAACCAATTGCATCAAGATTATGTTGAATCATTGATATGATTGGTTTTTGTTCATTATTTATATTGAAAAGATATGAGGACGAAGATTGTTGAACATGATCAGTAAGTATCCATTGATCACCAAATGGAATAACATGACGAATTGCAAATGGAAGTTTAATATGTTGAGATATATTTTTAATAAAATCAATAATATGAATTGAATTATAATTTAGAATATATTGCAGAAGTTGACCATTCGTTGGATTATATACGGATCTTGATGTAGATGTATTTCGTTGAGAAAGCATTTCATTAAATTTACGAGTAATTGTTTGTGTTATTGGAGAAGATGATGAAATAGTCGATTGAATAAGAGAATTTCGACCATCATCTAGATTAACTATTGCCCATGTTTGACTTGTTAAATCACCAACAATCACTTGTTTCTCATTTCCAGGGATTACATTTAGCTAAAGGAAAAAACAAACGTAAATTAGAAAATTAACATGAACTAATATAAATAAATATTCACTTGATAATTTGGTGTAGTAAATTGATTTGTATTATCAGTAAATAGAGAGTGTAAATCAATTTTTTTCGCTTGATTTTCACCTAATTTAAATATCCATAATGAAAGTGGATTACCAGTTAATACAAGTACAGATTTATTTTCATTTAAAACATTAAGATCATGTACATAAGTTGTGTCATCTAATGGTAATCGATATTGATAAATTAATTCAGAAAAATTTTTTGTTCTTGAATCAGTTCGATTAATTGATTGAATAATTTTCATTGATTGTTTATTTGATTTTTCATTTAAAATAATTGATGATGATTGTTCAATATTTCCACCGTCAATCGTCATTATTTGCCAAGTTTCTTGTTTCGGAATAAGTTTTAATGGATGACTTATACCTAAATTTACTGTTCGATTTTCAACATGAAATGGTATTCCATAACGATGAAGTATTGCTCGTAGACGATCCATAACATCTGTATTATAATTATCTAAATCAAATACATTACGAATAACATCAGCTAATGAATCATTTGGAAACATATTTAAATGTTTAACAATTGAAACAAGTTCACGTAAACTATATGGATATGAAATAATACCATCGATTGATAATTGTCGTAATTCAGTAAATACATCAACTAATTGTTCAAGTTTTTTACGTTCAATATTTGGACCAAAATTTTGTAAAAGTATTATTTCACTTTCACGAGGAGGATTAAGTATTGGAAATGTTGAAAAATGATCACCTAAACTTAAGAAAAAACTAAACAAAAAGAAAAAGAAAGAAAAACTTTATTCAAGAAGACAACATCGAAAACATATATAAGATTGACTTACTCATTTCCAAGAAATGGAAACCCAGGTCTATTAGCTAAAACAATCATTCGAAAATTTGGATGTGTTCGAATAATCATATGTGATGGTATTGTTGATATATTTCCTGTTTCTTTTGGATAAACATGTCTTCCATCACTTAAAAACATCGAACCACTTTCAATCAATGATTTTAAAATTCCTGTGACATTCGTTGGAGCTTTATCTGCTTCATCAATAACTGCAACTGAACCTTCTTTGATTGCTTTTATTAATGGACTATCTTCATAAACAATTCGACCATTGATTATACTCGCTTGAATTGTTAAACTTTGAACAGTTGTATCACCTGAAATAAAAAAAATTTTTTCTTGGGAATAATTTTGAAGAGTTTTATTTACGATGCAGTTGAATATATTCACGGGGTAATTTTAATGTTTGAAGATAATGATCAACAATACGATTTTTCGCTACTCTATGAATATGACAAAAAGAAGAAAAAAAAAGAAGCAAACTTTTAAATAAAAATAAAAAGTAATGAAAATTTACCCTTGAGGTCCAATTAATAGTAAATGTTCACCTAATAAAAATGATTCATGCATTTGTTGAATAATTTCACTATGAATTGGATTTTCATAAAAAACTGTAAAAGGAACTTTTGCTGCATGTTCAAATGAT